TCAATTTTCGAACGGTTTTCGTAAATTTTGCATCATTTCATTTTTTAATGGGAAAATCATCTATATTTAATCAAAAAAGAGCAAACTTTACAGACGAAAATAAAATATTTATCAGGGAACAATCTGATAAATACCAAAAATCAACATCGAGAGATGAAAAAACGAATATAATCAAACAAGTTCTTCAATATTTTAATATTAAATACACCGAAAATGAATCTAAAGCTGTCAGAAGATATTTTAGTTATATTGCAGTTAAAAATATTCCCGCAGTTACTGGAAAATATCCTGATACAATTGTTCGCAAAGATATGCTTTATTCGCATGATCATACAAATATTATTAATTCAAATAATATTGAACGTTACTACCGTTGCATCGATCATTCTTGTCAAGCACGTTATTTAGTTAAAATTGAGAACAGTTCAGTTTCCGAAGATTTACAAAAGGAACATATACCCGAATGCAGACAATTTAAAAAGTTACAAAATGAAAAAAATGATCTTCATAAATCAATGACTCTGACAGAAATATATAGGGTGTCCAAAGGTGTGTTTAGCACAAACCTGAATACTGCGAATAGAAATAAACAAGTTACATATATATAAAGTTTATTTAAATATAATCACCATTGGATTCAATCACGTGTTCGCAGCGATCGATCCAGGCTTGAAAGACACGCTTTAAATCATCATGAGAAAATTGCTCAAATTGCTCTCTTACAAAATTTTCAAGATCATCTGGACTCGCGAATTCGCGTCCTTCAGCTCTCTTTTTTAGCGTGCCGAATAAATAAAAGTCAGAGGGTGCAATATCAGGTGAATAAATTGGGTTTGGAACAACTTTGACATTGTTTTCCACCAAGTAATTCATTACCTTATGACTTTTGTGAACTCTTGAATTATCAAAATGAATTGCAAACTTTTGTTTTTGTTGTTTGGATTTCTCAAACTCATCAGAATTGATAATTTGAGTAAGAACATTGTCAATTAGATACTGAGCATTCATCGTATTAGGTTTTTGAAGAATATCAATTGCGATGATGCCATTCACGCCCCAAAAAACCGACAACATCATCATTGGTGTGTCAATTTTTTTCTTCGGGAATGTTTGCGGATTTTCATCCTTCGGGATCCACATGATTTTGGCTTCTGTTGCATATTGAAACCAAGACTCGTCCCCTGTTACTAAAAAGCGAAACTTCTTGGATTGATACGCACCCAATATAGAGAGGAGCTCTTTCGAAGATTGGACTCTAGATTTTTTTTGAACTGAATTAAGGTTGTGCGGAACCCAACGTGTATACGCTAGTTTGTAGTTCAAATAATTGTGCAGATAATAACTGACTGTTGTACGTGGTATCTTTGTCATCTCCTCTATCCTTCTGAGTGATGCTCTTGGGTCTTCATCTAGCGCTTGAAGAATTGCTTTGATTTTTCTTTGATCCGGCGATTTTTTGTCAATTTTTATGATGGGCGCCTTTTTGTTCATGAAGTGATACATCCTAACATGATACGTTACAGTGGAATAGCTAGGAGCATACATACCGAAGCATTTTACCAATGTCTCGTAGATTTTTTTACAGTCTTTGCATTTTTTTGCAAGAGCGAGGATGTTTTCTTTATGATTCATTAAAAAAATGAAAAAAATCCCGCCAAAATTTCCCGCGAAACCGCCTCTTGTCTCAAAATTCATTTTATATCCCGGCATGGCGCCAAAATACAACATACTCATCATATACATATATTCATATTTTATTATATATTTATAATCAGCATATATCTCCTTTAATAGTCTCATATAGAGCGCTGTGCTAAACGCACCTTTGGACACCCTATACAATAAGGCAATGGCAAAATTTTCTGAAGACAACGGCACTTTTCAGCAGATTAAAAAATTTATGACAGAAACGCTGTTGGTACTGATGAAAACCCATTAATTAAAGATTCATTGGTCAGGGAAGTTTATAATAAGTCCAGAAAATTTTCTGTTGGAGAAAAAATTACAGACGATGAAATTGCTAATTTTTGTTTAATAAATGGCGAGCAGTTTTTCATTGGCCATGATTTTCAAGCAAATTGTGAGACGATGTTTTTTGGTTTTGAGAAGGCAATTCAATTTGCAAAAGAAGCCACAGATTTATTTCAAAAACAAAAAAAAAAGGACAGATGCTAACAATTATGATTTGTGAACCTTCAACAAATCAATATCTACCACTTTTATTTATATTCATGAAAAACCGCACATTTGAATCTTATAAGAAGGCATTTGAATATATTTTTACTGTCAAGGGTATTCAATTTTCAAAGCTAATTCAAATTCATTGTGATTTTGAAAAGGGAATGATAGAGGCACTTCAACAAATTTTCCCTAAAGTCCGTATAATTGGATGCCTATTTCATTTCAAACAAGCTTTACACAGGAAACTTGTAGCACTTTATACAAAAAATTTCAATACTTTACAAAATTCTTTATTTAAGCTATATTCTATTACTTCATCATGTCTCATGAAGAATTTGTACTTACAATGCATATAATTAATCAAAATAAGTTGATTCGATCAAAGATTATATTGATTATTTCACAAAGTTTGTTGCCGCACTACAATTTAATATCTCAATATAATAATGCAACTGCAATATTCACTAATGATTGCCTCGAGAGTATGCATTCAGAATTTTCTTCGTTAAAACATCCAAACATTTATGAAGCTATTAAGAAGATATCTCAAATCCAATTAGATAAAATATAACGCCATCAAAAATAACCAGAAGATCGAGCGCCATATAAAAACCGTTATCACTGATAGCTACAAAAATTATATTCTTGACTGCTTTCAAAAAGAACTTGAGAAAACAATTTTTTCTATCAAACAATACAACGTAAGGATCTTTCTTTGGCTCAGAACGAGATTTCTCCATATGGTTCCATAGAATCGAGTTCATTGTTCGAAAATATTCCAGTTCATGATGCAGATATACTCAAATCGATCGATCTAACAATAAAGATACAATGATCACTAAGTTTATTAATGAAAAAGAGAAAAAAATTATGGCATTATTTAATGAAACATTAAATCATCCAGATTTTAATTCATCCACTCCAATTCAAACTAATTTTGAGCAAGCCGATACAAATCAAGGTTCAGATGCTCCAATTCGCTCCGAAAATTCAAATATTGCAGACTCTACAGATTTAGAACCAGAAAATCAAAACCATCCTTCTACAAATCAAATGTCTAGTAATCTAGAACATAAGCTGGACCTTCTTGATCATATTGAAAAACAATTATCGAAAATGCGCTCGTTATTGGGAATTCTTCCTACTACAAATGCTATTGTTGGGCCGTCAAAACAAGTTTCAGTTAATAGCAAGCAAAATTCTGAAAAAAATAAGAAAAAATCTTCCATAACAACAAAATCAAACAATAAAAAACAAAATTCATCCGACAATCCTCCTAAACGTAAAGCTCCTATTTCGGAAAGATTCCCAGCGATAATAACTTATATTTTCAAGTTCATCGAAAGAGATCGAAAAGCAAACGTTCCACATTCTACAGAGAAAAAGAATTGTATATGAAGTCTAATTCCTTTTATAACTACTATATTTTTATTCTTATGACTAAAAAATAATATATTATTTAACAATTTTCATTTTTTTCTTTTAACAATTTCGTTTTATTTCCATTTATTGTTAAATGATTTTTAGCATACACTTTTCTTTGTTCATCTTCTAAATACAATTTATTTTTTCTTAGATATAATTCTATTCATTCAATTCGATCGTCATTTTTCAGTACATGATCGTAATTTTCAATTATTGATCGCGATTTTACTTCAGAATTTGTTCGCAATATTGCTTATCAAAATTATATCTCTATTCTCTCATTTCTGTTTAGTCAATATCATTACACTCCTATTGTCTAATAACATGCTATTAATTTTCTTAAAATTAAAAAAAAATATCAACTTTTAAAAACAGAAACTTAACATCCTTAGGTCAATGGATTTTGATGTGAGATACATTTAATCTGTTTTTCTTTTTTATTTTAAATAATTGAATATTTATAGTTGTTATGGGTCTTACATCATGTAAAACGAATTTTCTTAAAGTAAATTTACTTTTTCTTCAATCTTTCTTACATATTTATTAAAAAAATTATCCAAAAAAGATGTTTTAGAATGAAAAAAAATAGAAAAATCTTCATTTATAGTCTTCTTGAATGTATACGTTTTGATTTTTTTCTTTTTTTAAAAATTCAATTTCTAGAAAAATCGAGAAAAAATCATTTTCTTCTATTTTTTTAGGACGCCATACCCATTGAAATCTCCTCTCAGGACGCCATAAACTATTCAATTATGGTGTAAACTTCTCAAAAATTGAATAGTTTACATCAGGACGCCTTAGGACGCCAACCCTTTACGCGCCCATCATAAATATATTACACGAAATTGAGACGAAATCTCAATTTCGTGTAATATATTTTGTATTCTATTCTACCTTCAATTATAAGTTCAAAAATATAAATTACAGGAATTGAAGAGGGTCAAGTCACTTTTTGAAATAAAAAGAAAGAAAAATGAGGTAATTTTTTGTTTATCCTAAAATTATTAGTATAAAATTTTGACTATGACGATTATATAAAAATTTTCAAAAGTTTATTTTTTTAATGCCCTTATAAAAAGCACTGACCCCGCGCCACCAAATCCTTTCCAAAAGGCCATGTTTCACTCTTGTTGCAAACACTCTTCCCACTCCTTTAAGCGGAATGGTTATTTCGCATTTTTCTCCCAAATTTATATCTAAATTCACAATGCAATCTTAATCTAAATTCTTGAAGTTCATCTACTTCTCATCCTTATTGTTTGTTCAAACTTAACTTACTGATTAATAAAGAATTACGTCATTTTTATTTTTTTTCAAAAAAGTGACAGGTCTTCTCAATTCCATGTAATATATTTTTGAAAACGTTAATTGAATGTAAATAGAATCCATTTAGATTACTTGGCTCCAATAGATTTTAGATAATCTCTGACTTCACTATCTGCATAAATGAGTGGAGTTTTTCCATCATTAGTCTTTGCTTCTTTATCAGCTCCAACTGAGATAAGATATTTAACAACTTCAAGATGACCATTATCTGATGCAATAATGAGTGGAGTATATCCATCCTTATCCTTTGCTTCTTTATCAGCTCCAACTGAGATAAGATATTTAACAACTTCAAGATGACCATATCTTGATGCTAAAATGAGTGAAGTCCATCCATTTTTAGTCTTTGCTTCTTTATCAGCTCCAACTGAGATAAGATATTTAACAACATCAAGATGACCCCATTCTGATGCAAAAATGAGTGGAGTATATCCATCATTATCCTTTGCTTCTTTATCAGCTCCAGCTGAGATAAGATATTTAACAACATCAAGATGACCCCATTCTGATGCAATAATGAGTGGAGTCCATCCATTTTTATTCTTTGCTTCTTTATCAGCTCCAACTGAGATAAGATATTTAACAACTTCAAGATGACCATTATCTGATGCAATAATGAGTGGAGTATATCCATCCTTATCCTTTGCTTCTTTATCAGCTCCAACTGAGATAAGATATTTAACAACATCAAGATGACCTCTTTCTGATGCTTTAATGAGTGAAGTCCATCCATATTTATTCTTTGCTTCTTTATCACAGCCGCATTCAATAAGTGATTTGACAAGATTAAGATTTCTTTTGTCACTTGCAACATGAAGTACATTCATTTCATCCCATTTTGTCTTTTTCCAAAGTCCTTCTTCACAAGCCTTTGAAATCATTTCGCGATTGCCTTGAGAAGAAAGTTCTTCAAAGAATTGGTAAACACTATCAAAATCATTAGTTGCCTTAAGTGATGATAATTTAGTTAAAAACTCTCTCGAAAAGTTGTGAGTTTTATTAATTGGGGTTACTGTTGTTTCTTTGGCCGCATTTTGTATTTGATTTTGTAATGTTTTTAATTCTGTTTGAAGTTTTGTGATTTCTTCTGTAGAATCACGCAACTCTTTGTCTTTTTGATTTATAAAGTCAATTATCCCATTAAATATATGGAATTTCATGTATTTTGTGACAGATTTAAGAATTGAAACAACTTCATCGAAATTTTGGATAGTAACATTTGCGTTTCTTGTACAGAAATATAATTTGTTGGCTTTGAGAGTCGATGAAGACTGTTTGAGAAGAGTAATGTACTGATCAGCTGTTAATTGTGAATATTTCATGATTGTTTTGATATCTTCGATCTCAAATGTATCGAAAAAGTTTTCATTCTTAATATAATCGCTGATATGAGCAGCAATGTATTCGAAATTCAAATTCATGGCCTGATTCGATTTTTTTGAAAAGTCGTAACTTTACAAAAAATCTGAAAAAAAAATTAAAATCGAAAATTAGATTAAAAATAATCTCATTGCTATATGTTTTATGAAAATGTATAAATGAAATTTCAATTCTGATAAAAATTAAAAATTTAAAATAATTTGTTTACTTTAATCGAGTGAAACTGCTTGGTCAAAAGTATTATCCTTATCGTTAGTCATTTCCCACAAAGTCTTTCTTGAATTCAAAACTTTGTCAGAAGGAAGCATCTTGATGCCAGCAGTGAATTCTCTTGCCAATACATCAGCTTCAATAGCTGTATATCTGATGAATGCTGGTAATGCTTGTGCAGAAATGACTGATTTACCTCTTAATGAGCCAAACCACTTAACTCCAGTCTTTTGGAATACGTGGACGGCGAATTTAGCATGAGGTAATGGATATATAACGATATGGGCGTGATTGAACTGAGATGTGATCATGGAAATATCATATTCCACTAAATCTTCACTCCAAAGGACATGAATTGAATCATTACCGATATGTCTCTTCTTGTAAATGTTTTTACCGTTGGAAAGAGCTGTTTCAATGAGAGTTGAAACATGCCACATCAATTCATGCTCCATATTCGCGTAATAGCATGTCTTTCTACCTGTGGAGAATCCAATGTTATCAAGGCCACCTGTAAATGATGGATGATTGGCGAGATCAATTGGATATCCGATTTGTTTGATGAAATTGTAGAAAGTTGGGGACGCTTCTCCAAGAGTATTAGCGAGAAGCTGTTCCTGGTCTCTCTGGTTGTAGCCGACATAGATAACTGCAACTTTGTGGCCACTTCTGACTTGAATGTCGAAAAGTGCCTTCAATTCGTTGGATGCGTTCTCCTTATCAAGCATTCTGTAGACAGATGGCTTGAGAGGATCGATATAACCGAAAGCTTGCAAAACATTTGCAGGATTAATAAGAGTTGGAGCAGAATCTTCTTCTTTATGCTGGCTGTCTTCAACAGGAACTTTAAGAGGCGATGAGACCTCTCTGAGGGTTTCTGGAAGAGCGTTGAATGGTTTCAAAGTAGATTTGTCTCCCCAATCATTCTGATCGTCGTAAACTGGATGAGGAATGTCACATTCTGTCTTAGGAATGAATATTTCGTGGCGAGATGTTGGTATTGCGCTCTTGCAGACAAATTGAGAGTTTCCGGACTCCGATTTGATGAAAAGCTTAACGCTATTACTCTCTTTGTTGAGATTGGTAATAATCGTTGTCTTTTCAGATGTAATAGCGATTGATTTCGGATCTTCATTCTTCATATCGAAGTGGTCATCAATGAAGTTCATTCCTGCCTTGAACGGATATCTAAGGAAGTTCTCGAGGAACAATTTCCTTGGATCTTCGAATCCTTTCTTATTAAGAAGTCCTTTGAGATGTGGAAGGTAATCGTTGAATCGGATATACGGGCATGAAACCATGAGCCTTACAGCAATCATTGTATGCCTTGGAGATTCCTTTGCGAGGCAAGCATCGACAATGGAAATAATTAATTCATCGGAAACCTGATCGACTTCGGAAAGGAAAGAGAGTGTCTGCATCTCATCATCAGTGAGTTGCAGAATCCTGGAAATTATGAAGTCTTTAAGTTTGGTATAATCTCTACCGCGAAGAGAATCTTCAACGAGAGCTTGGATGGCAGCAGCAAATACATCTGGACGGTTTTCTGGTGGCGCTATATTGTAAATGTTTGAGATATCAGAATAATATTCCATATATGAGTTGGAATACTTCTTTCCGAATCCCAACGTATTGGATAATTCAACGCATTGCTCATGAGAAATGCATCCTGTGATTCTGAGACTGGCAAATGCATTTGCGAAATTTGTTGCCAAAGGAGTAAGAGATTTGATCTTGTTAACAGCAACAAGGAAGAATGGAGCAGCTACTGAAGCGCATGGGAGGTTCAGTCTGATGATATCTGCAAGGGCGGCCGTACATAAAACTAAATCTTTATCGTTGAAAGATTGAGTGATGATGAACGATACCCACTTCTTGTAAACATTGTTGGAAATACGATACTGAAGGAACGGATCACTGAAAATTTTTGTAAATGTCTTAATAACGGTCTGTGAGAGTTTCTTCTTCGCGAAAATGCGTGGAATGAATATCCAGCATAAGTCTGGCTTCGGATCTTTCTTGCACAATGCTGACGGACATAATTCGAAAATATCCAAAACGCGATTTATGAGTAAACACGAAAGAGATGACGATTTCGCGTCGCACATGATGTCTATGTTATGGATGTCGTAAGGTTTTTTGAGATCTTGTGCGTCAAATCCGAGATTTTCGAATTTCAAAGTTGATTCTTCGCCTTCGAAGAAAGTATTTGCGTATTTCCAAGGAGTATTGATTAATGATGGAACTCCCTTGTGGAATTCGACAAGATTGGCAGCCATTGTCTTGCAAATTACAGTACTTGTTGTTATTGAGTTCGAAAACTCCTCTAAGGCCTTTGTATCTATTGTTGTGATATCAAAGAAGTACAAACATGCAAGAAATGTTATGAAATATTGAGCTGTATTGTTGGAAGAGTCAATAAGATTATATGCAGCGGAAAAGAGCTCTGGATTCAATACATTTGAGTCGTAAAGGTAAAGAATGTATGTTATTGGAAGGTATGAGTTGATGCATGATGGGATTATTTCTTCAAAGTGTTGAATTAACTCAATTTTATCGTTTTCATCCGTAATTTTTGCCCAAATGTATCTGAAAAATGCAAGTGGCTCTGGGATCTCAATAGCGGAGTTCCTTAAGAACTCAATTAAGATATAAATAGCGTTATACGGAACAAATTGTGGTTTTGTTTGCTCTGCCTTCACAGCTGCGATAAACGACTTAAAGTATACTTGGAGAACTTGCTTTCCTCTCTCATCTTCGAACAATTTTGGAAAGTTTCCTAAAATAAATTGAATTTTCTCTGTTGAGAGCAATAAAAGCTTGCCAAACAAATCGGTTCCGAATTGGTCAAGATAATTATATTGTTTTATGTATTCAAAGAGCTTAAAATCTGTTGGTTTGATATTTCCGAAAGTTTCGAGAAGATCTATAAAGACTTTGCGAATAGATAGATAAAGGGATGAAGTTACATCACTTTGGGTAAACAAAAGAACAACTTTGATGACTTCACATACATTAGAAGGTGCAATTTTATATAACAATCCATCCTGAATAATGGTATTAATAGTAGCAGCGTAGACAAAGTAATCGGCAAGTTGAAGCTGAACGTTGCCGAATTTACTTGGTTGCACAGGAGCCAATAATTTTGAGAGTGCGGAAATGTAATTTTCGCAAGGTTGGAGATAATCATTTACAACTGTGGACTTGATCTTAACATCTTGAAATATTTTTTCTGTCTTTGAAATATCTTGAATAACTTGCTTCTTTTGGGGACCTAAAACTTGATTCATTAATTTTATTTATTTCACTTTTTAAAGGTAGTCTCACAAAAATACGTTATTTTCCCGATGCCTTGGAAGCAGCTTTGCAGGTTACCCGTAAGGTAACCAGTAGAAGTTTCTGAGCAAGGATGAAGAAGATTAAAGAGCCTTTTTATTGCAAACGCTATATTTGTAAGTGTCTTTGTAGAACTTCTCATAAATTCAAAGATTTCCAAAAACGAATTTTTCGATTTTGATATAATAAATGATATTTAAACAAATTATAGATGTGTTTGCAATTAAAAAAATCCGAGTTAACTACAATATCTTCAATTTTTGTCGTTCACTTTTTCATGTCATACTGATAGCAAGAATACTCACCCAATTTGGTTACACTTCATGATAGTTTGAAGTAAAAAAATGCCACAGTTTTTTTTATTTGATATCGTTATCTAAATTTTGTACAGAAATGAAATAAATTATAATATGAAACGTGTGTTATTATGCTTGTTGGGAAACAATCCAATACTTATGTCTGAATGAAATGATTATTTCTAAGTAGTAGGATATGACGGGTTTTGTGACTTTTTTTGTAAACGTAAGAATTCATACAATATCGAGCGATTTTGTATCATTTTTTTTAACATATGAAGTAAAAAATGTATGATTCTTACGGTTTTTATTCTTACGTTTTTGAATAAATCAAGATTTAAAAAATTTTCAAAATTGTAAGACATTTACACTCAGCCCATACATAATGAAATAAAAAATAATTTTTTTAAAAAATAAACTTTAAAAATTCATGTCTTACGAAAAATTAAAACTTAGTTATGTTTATTAAAAAAAAAAAAAAAAAAAAAAAGGTAGTGGGGCTTCCAGGCACTTCGTGCCTTCTAGCCCTGATGATGTTTAGTAATAAATGAAGTTTTTTATTCGGAAAAATTGTTAGTCTTCTGGGTCGAAAACATTATATATAATGTGTCGCTTTTCACAAATTATATATGTTTTCATGTTTTGTCAAACATGAACGTACATGTTTTGTCAAGACTTCTTCGTAAATGTTTTGTCAAGACTTCTTCGTAAATGTTTTGTCAAGACTTCTTCGTAAATGTTTTGTCAAACATGAACGTACATGTTTTGTCAAGACTTCTTCGTAATGAGTGTAAATGACCAAAAATATAATTTAGGGTAGAAGGTTAGATCTAACCTCTTTTCTAACCTCTTTTCTACCCTCTTGAATTTGTCATGATTTCTTCGTAAATGTTTTGTCAAACATGAACGTACATGTTTTGTCAAGACTTCTTCATCGTAATGAGTGTAAAGGACCCAAAAATAAAGTTTAGGTGAAGAGGTGAGATCTCACCTGTTTTCTCACCTCTTTTTTCACCTCTTGAATTTTCATGATTTCTTCGTCATAGGCACGGAGATAGGACGGTTATTTTACAAAACTAACAACACGTTGACCGAGTAGTTTTTTGTGCTGAACAAAAAGTGTCATATAAACATCTGTCAAAAACCGCTTTTTAACTTCACTTAAAATGCCACGTAAGCTACGTAAGAATATACGTAAGAGGAAGAGAGCATTGAAACATCCAATAGTAAAACTAACACCACAACAACAGTTGCAACAACAAATTATGAATGACCCCACTATGTTGCAACAAATGTCAAGCAACCCTATGCTTTTAAACCGAGTTATTGGTGCACAGAGTGGAGGTTTAAGAGCGGCACTTTTAGCGAAAATGGCAGGCTATGGTGGAGCTGCAGACGGAACAGCTTATAACCCTCAAAGTCAAATGAATTTGAGTTCACTCAAAAATCAAATAACAGATGTCAAAAAGTCAAACATAGACATACAGAAACAAATAAGTGAAAACGAAAAGAAACTAGAATATGACAGACACACAAAGAAACTCAATGAGTTAAACGTAGAAAAAGAAGAAAGAAGAACAACTGAAAGAACTAAGTACAGAGGAATATGCGAAAAAAGTGTCAGAAAAAGCAGCAGAAGTAGCAAAAATGGAACAAGATGTTATAAATTTGAAAAACCATACTACTCAATATAAAGTACTGAAAGATGAAGAAATAAAACAAAAAGCCCTGAAGACATATATGGATAGCGATGAGTATAAAAAAGAAGTTGAAGCAAATGTAAAGGCAGAAAAACTTTTACAGTTGCAAAACCAAACCGTACAGTATGAAAACTTAGCACAGAAAGTAAAAATAACGACGCAGCCATGCAAAAGGCAATGAAAAGCGCAGAATATATAAAAGCTAATAATGACTGGTTAGATGCCCAAGCCAACGCTAAAGCAGCCCAACTTATAGGGTCAATAAGACAAAAATACAAGCGGATGAAGACAGTTCAAATGAAGCTTTAATGAATGCTGACTTTAAGAACGCTTCTGAAGCCTCTATAGTAAGGTGAAACTAGTGAACGACTTCTCATCTGAAAAGAACTGAAGTCTGAAGGTTTCGACAAAGAGTTAAGAGAAGTAGCACAAAATATGACGAAAATAACAGATGCAGCAACGAGACAGGCAGTTCAAAGTGCCTATGACGCCGTTAGAGCAACTGTTGTGGAAAGTCAAGAAAAAGAGTTACAACAGACCAAAACAGACCTAGTAAATGCTTTCTTAAAACGAAAAGTCAGGTAGGACATTATGCTGCAGATGGAACATATGTGCCAGCTGGTGGAACTTATATACCAGCTGGTGGAACTTATATACTAGCTGGTGGAACTTATATACCACCAAACCAAGAGAAGCACCTGCACCAGGACTACCTAAAACATTTACATCGTCACATGGACACAGAGCATGCACCACAACAACAAAAAACCAACAGTTCAAAATCCAGCACCACAACCAACAGTTCAAAACACTGCACCACAACCAACATTCAAAACACTGCACACACAACAACAAACAGAGCAAGGACATAAAAGAAGTAGAGAACAAGGAAACCAAGAATTCTTAAAAATGCTTAAGGAAGACTATGGTTACAGATACTCTTGACTTTAGTGACAGATATAAAGAAGCTATTAGAAATTCAAGGAAGGAAATACTGACCCGAACCTTATTAGCTTTATGGTTCAGCACCAAATGGATATAATTTCAAACCTGGAAATAAACAAGCTCGCTAAGGGATATGATTTAATAGCATATCAAAATGACATGACTGAATTTACTCCGAGATATTTGGTGTCAGAGCTAAATGATAATTCAACTCTCTTCATGAAACGCGTAAAAATAGAGACGGAACGAAAAGAAGAAAGGTTTATGAGTCCGGATGACTTAGATAGGGACTTGTTAAAAACGGTCTGGGAATATATGAAATGCCAGCAATGATGAGTAAAGAAACTCCACAGAAGAAGTTCAGATACAACCAGACATGGAAAAAATAGTTCAGCAACAAACAGCTAGAAGAGCCTGAAGGAAACAACAAGTCCCTCCTTTGGAAACTAACTTCACAGAACTAGATGAAGATTTGGAACAGCCGAAAAATCTTGACCCTCAACAAGAGTATGCGGAGAATATGGAATCTTTCCAAGAGTCTAAGAAAAATTCGGCTGACATAGTAGAAGAATATCGAAAAATGTTCGCCGACATACAAAAGACTCCAACATCAGATGAAAATATTCAGCATAGAATGGAAGTACTGAAAGAAAATGTACGCAAATACAACAATCCTTTTTACTTACGACCATATAACGTTCAATCTTTGGCTGAACTCGGTGAAAATAAAAGTTAAATTTCAACAAAACATATAGAAATGAAACATTGTTTAAAGTTCATTCAGAACTAACCAATATGGAAACAAACCTACTTTTGTTTCTGCAGACCTATGG